GAGCAGAGGAGCAACCAGGACAGAATACGGCACCCCAACTGGGACTAGAACCTGTGGTGCTGGCGCCGCAGGTGGAGGATTAGCCTAGTGAGCTGCGGCGCTGGCCTTGGGCCAACTTCTACTGCTTTCCCAGGCCACAGCAGAGAGCTGGATTGGAAGGGGAATAGCCGGGACTAGAACCGGCGTCCATATAGGATGCGGGCAACACAGGCGAAGGATTAACCTACTGCACCATGGTGACAGCCCCCCATATTTTCAATAATAAACATGTTGACATTTCACGTTAGAAATATGGAAATTAGTTGAAATCTGCATGTACACATTTAACTATTACCATGCGCCAAGGCTTAACCTTCTTTGAAATTACAGCACAATATCTTTAACATTAATGTTAAATCTTATGTGGTGAACATATTCTGCATATATTTTGAATTTCATTATAATTTGGCATGCCATATATCAAAATTAAGCAACATATTAAGGTTTTTATCTAAGAAATTTGATTTGGAGGGATTATTTAAAGGAAAAACCCAAATCTTTCAGTCTTCTTTGATGTGATATATTCACCCCCTGGTGGCAACTCAGTAGAAAACAAGTGCATTTAGTAAAAACCTTGTTCTTTTGGGAATTATCCACAAAGAAAAATATGGCAGATTTTGTATAATGCTCCCCTCATGATCCTCTGCATATATTTCCTTGAATGCCACTTTTATTTTTGTTACAAAACAACTATTCACAAACAAAACAACAGGAAATATAGAGAAGTCGGTCACTCATTATTTCCAACAGCATCTAAAGAGAACCAACTGCTAACACTTTGGATATGCTTTTCTCTAGAATTCTTAAAAATGTATGTTTTCATATTTTTTCCTAGCAGAAACCATCCCTATTCTTTATTTTTTTAAAGATTTATTTATTTATTTGAAAGGCAGTTACAGAGAGGCAGAGGCAGAGGCAGAGGCAGAGAGAGAGAGAGAGAGGGAGGGAGGAAGAGAGGGAGAGAGAGAGAGAAAGGTCTTCCATTCATTGGTTCACTCCCTAAATGGCTACAATAACTGGAGCTGCGCAGATCCGAAGCGAGGAGCCAGGAGCTTCCTCTGGATCTCCCGTGCACATCCCTATTCTTTAAAGTTCCTGTTTTATTAGTACTCCTCTCTGTTTCAGCTGTTACTCCAATCAGTACTCTGAGCGTGGATACTGGTTGATGACCTTAGAAATAAGCCAACATTGCCTGTTAGACTCACATAATCTCGAAATCCACGAACATTCCCAGTATCCAAATATAATCCTCCTGGCTTCTTGATCCAAGGTGGCCACCTCTAGGCTAACTGTAGTGTTCTGTGAGTTCAGAAAATGGGAAACTGATGGCCAGTTAGCAAATGTGATGAAAATGAAACAGATAATTTGTGAGTACTGTATATAGTAAGATCTGTTGCCCATTTTTAAAATGTTTTATTTTAAATGTAATGGTTGTTTACAAATTCCAGATAAAAGCCCCTTATCAAATATATCATTCATTAAATTTTTTTTTCCATTCCATGGGTGGCCCCAGAATTCTTGTCCAAAATGATATAAATGCTTGGAAAAGCTCTGGTTGTTTCATATAAAACCAAGCATAGACCTACTCTATAAATCAGCAATTCTACTTATAGGTGTTACCGGAGAAATGCAGGGTTCTTGTCTTTGTGCAAGAAAGAATTCAGGTGTGAGACAGAGTAGTGGAAAGTAAAAAGTAGCAAAGTTTATTAGGGTAGGGACATCCGCAAGAACGGATGGGCACCTCTCCAGACAGGACCTGAGAGAGAGTGCAGTTGCTTGGACGGTGGGAAGGAGCAAGGTTACATGGTTGAGTGGAGAGACTACACCTGGCCAGGCAGGCGGGCCGCTCAGCATAGAGGCAGAGGGCTGAGCCAGTCTGGTTGAGGCTGGGGGTTTTTAAAGAGATGGGTCTCTGTCTTCACACATTTCCTCCTGAAACAAAGGATTTTATGGCTGTAAATATTAATAAACTCCTATCTGAGTTTTCCCTGGAAGGTATCAGACAGGAGGAAGCCTAGCTGGCACCATCCTGGGTTCAGAGGAAGGGTGAGCAGGACCCCCTAGAGAATGGGGATCCAGAGCAGGGTGTTTGAAATGCAGATACTGGGCTGCATCTGGGAGATTGTGGAAGATTTGTCAGGCAGAAGGGGCGGGGACCCCCACCTGGCAGGTTATCAGGTAGAAGGGGGCAGGGCAGGATGCGAACACTGGGCTGCCCCTGAAACATTATCAGGATGACTTTGAGATGTAGATGCATATGCTGGACGTAGAAGTCTTCTCTTTAGGTCTTTGTCATATGCACATAAGCTCATATCTAACTTCCTACCTAACATAGGTACTTATCCAAGAGAAAAGAAAATATATGTCTATAAAAGATTTACACAAGAATGTTTATGGCATCTTTATTTGTAATAGCCCCAAATCGGAAACAGTCCAGGTGCCCATCAAAAGGAGGCTGGATCAGCTATCTTCTATGGCCTGGGAAGGCAGTAGAAGATGGCCCAAATCCTTGGGCCCCTGTGCCTATGTGGGAGACTCGAAAGAAGCTCCTGGCTTCTGGCTTTGGATTCACACAGCTCCGGCTGTTGTGGCCCATTGGGGAGTGGACCAGCAGATGGAAGACTTCTCTCTCTCTCTGTCTTTCCTTCTCTCTCCATGTAATATGACTTTCAAATAAAAAATAAATAATTTTTTTTTTTAAAAGGAGGTGAGGCTGGATCAACAAACTGTGGTATATTCATACAATAAAACACTACTCAGCAAGAAAATGGAGCAAACTTCTGACTCCATGACAACAACAGACACTTTGCTAAGTGAGAGACACCATACTCCAGAAGTACACAAGGTTCTAGAAAACAGGAAATTAACCTCTGGTAGAAAACTACAAGAGTGGTTGCCACTGTGGTAGAAGATGAAGAATGAGTGGAAGTTGGCAAGAGGAAACATGGTAAAAACATTTGTTTCTAAAAAGGACTTCAGAATGTCTATGGCTAGAGGCATTGAGACTGAAATAGAGAATTTACAAATGAGGACGGCCTGGCAAAGGGCAATGGTGAAGCACTGACAGTTCTCGAATGCCTGGGAATTCCCACGTCATTGATGCACACATTTCCAGCCATATTTCGTGGGTTCTTTACAAGCATCTCTAATCTGGATTCAACAGCGTCCTCATTTTCTGGTGATAAAAGTGAGGTTCAAGGGAGTTAGATAATTTGAGCAAGGTCACTGAACTAGGAACATAACAGATTATATGATTTGTAGGCCTAAACCAAAGTGAAAATTCAAGGTCCTTTGTTCAAAAATTATTAATAGCAAAGCATTAAACCACGACCAGGGACCTTCTGAGCATGAGGCCTTGTGAGACACAGCTTGCAAGCACACGAAGCTGGTGGGACAAGGAAGATTTGAATCTCAGACTAATAGGAAAGCCCATTTTTTTTGCAGTAAATCATAGGAGCCATGCCTTGTTGTGCACAATGAATGATACCCAATGGTGAGTTCAGTTCCGTAGCTGGTTAAAAACTGAATTGCAGGTTAGAAGTGCCTTCTGTGATGTCTGTTGTTTGTTATCAGTTCAGAAGGCATTTAATTATTTTATTTGACCTAGGTTAGAAAAGGAAACTTTCTACCAAAGGCTTGGCAATATATCTTCTTAAATATCAAGTAGCTAAGAATAACTCTTTTAACTCCCCCACTCCTGAATTCTTCCCTGAACCCTTTCTTTCTGATGAATAATACTGTAGCAATGATGAGATGTTTACTGATGAAATCACCTTATGTGAGACAACTGGGTGAATCCTGAAGTAGACAAACAAACTTCTTAACAATGGTTGCAGCAGTTGAATTAAATCTTAATTTCATTTAAGAGTAAGCTTTGGGCATTGTGGCATAGTGGGCTAAGCCCATGTCTGCAATGCCAGCATCCCATATAGGCACTAGTTTGAGTCCTGGCTGCTCCACTTCTGATCCAACTCTCTGCTATGGCCTGGGAAAGCAGTAGAGCATGGCGTAGGTTCTTGGGCCCCTGTGCCCATGTGGGAGACCTGGAGGAAGCTCCAGTCTCCTGGCTTCAGATAGGCACAGCTCCGGCTGTTGTAGCCAACTGGGGAGTGAACCAGAGGATGATGGAAGACCCCCCCCCCCCCCGCCTCTTCTTCTCTCTGTGTAACTGACTTCAAATAAATAAATACATCTTTTTTTAAAAAAAGGAGTGTTTGGCCAGCACTGCGGCTCACTAGGCTAATCCTCTGCCTCATGCCTCCAAGGCATGGCTCCTATGAAGGCCTGCCAGCACTCCAGGTTCTAGTCCCGGTTGGGGTGCCGGATTCTGTCCTGGTTACTCCTCTTCCAGTCCAGCTCTCTGCTGTGGCCTTGGAAGGCAGTGGAGGATGGCCCAAATGCTTGGGCCGCTGCAACCGCGTGGGAGACCAGGAAGAGGCTTCTGGCTCCTGGTTTTGGATTGGCATATCTCTGGCCATTGTGGCCAGTTGGAGGGTGAACCAGCGGATGGAAGATCTCTCTCTGCCTCTCCTTCTCTCTCTGTAACTCTGACTTTAAAATAAATAATTTTTTTAAAAAACGTCTACATTGTCAAATAAGTTATTAAAATTCCAGAAAAAGTCTTGGCATCAATCCAAGCTATCAAATTTTCAGGCAAGCTTTGACGTTTCCGACAGCAGCCTCTAGAGGGCAATCTCGTTTGCTGTTAATCAGCCCAAGTCCGCACTCCCTTTTCTCCCCCCTCTCTCCGCCTTCACTCTGGCCCCGCCTCCGAGCATGCCTCCGCCCCTATAGGGTCCCGCCCCCAAAGGACCCCGCCCCCATAGGGCCCCACCCCTGGCCCATCGCCCTCCCCCGCCCTCACGGCGTTTCCTCCCGCACTGGTTCTTGCCCCGCCTCTCAGCGCCCCGTACCGGAAAAGCCACCATAGGCCGCTCTGGCCTCTTGGAGGACTGATCATCGGTGTCCTGGGCGGTGCAGGAGCGGTGGGCGGGTCTGACGTGAGGAGATTTTCGGGTTCCCCCTGCTCCCTGAGTTTTGGTCTCGGAGTTCTTTGGCCATGGGGCAGCAGGATGTGTGTAGGCTCCTGTGGAGGTGAGTGAAGGAGCGAGCGGCCGAGGGCTTGCTCGTCAGCTGCGCTCGACGGGGTGGGGGAAAAGGGCAGCGTGGAGACTGTGTGGGGTCGCTGTGGGGGTCGTAGCTCTGGGATCCGAGCCCCGGCCGTCCCCAAGCCCTCGCATCGCCCCCTTTTTTCCGGGTTGCGGCTTTTCGCCCTCCGGCACCTTGTTTGCCGCAACTGCACGGTTTTCTGCCGTCCTGGCTGTTAGCCTGGACCTCCCATTTCTGTCCTTTGGCCCTGACTTCTTCCTTTCTTGGGCCTCGGATGCGGTCGCGACCCGTTGCGTGGCATGATTTGTGCCCCCACAGACACGCGCTGCAGCCGAGCTGACTTCGTTGCCCGGCTTTGCCCGGTGGCTGCAGCGTTGGCGCAGGCGTCGGGAACTTCGGCCAGTGTTGCGGAGTGAGGTGCAGACGCTGGGCTGAACTTTCTGAAGGCGCTGCTCACCACAGCCTGGGCTTAGCAAAAGAAAACTGGTAGCAGTCGTTTTGGGAAGCTGGGTTGCGTGAGCCTTGAAGCCTGCCCCGCCAGCCCGCGTGCAACGCCAGGGAGCACTGTGCCCAATTGGAGGGAGAACTGAGCTTAGAATTACAGTGCCCTTTGCGCCTGAACCGGTTGCCTTAGGGGTTTACTGCAGAGGGTCAGGGTGTTTCTTTAACAGTTTCCGCTTTAGGGGAAAACGTCTAGCTGTGTAACATTGTATCCGCAGACCTGGTTCCCTGATGTTTGTTATTCTTTGGTGTTTCTTTTCTTAAAAAAAAAAAAAAAACTTTTTATACTTTTAAAATTAGTTGTGCACCTGTTGCTGGCTCATGGAAATCAGTACCTGTAATTATTGCTTGTTTGATCTTTTTAGCAAGTACCGAAGTGTTTGAGAAATAAATTGGAAAAGCATGTTTGTTAATCAAGTTAACTGAGTTGGGGAAGATCTGGTAATAACCACACTTCACTTTGGCTTTATTCCACCCCACGTTTCAAGATGTGGACTGAATAGGCGAAGGCTGGGATGGATTTTAGAGTTCTGATGCCTTTTCCAAGTCTCTTGGAGTGGACATTAACCTAGCAAAGCAGAGAGCTGAGGCCAAGGTTCTCCAGTCTGAAACAGCCTAACCCACAGATGTAGAAGGGAGCAGGGTACCACGGAGGATCCCGAGGGAAATGGGTCTCTGTGCTGTGGTTGACACTGTTGGGCAATCCCACTTGAACTCTGGCTTCTTTTTGGCTTCCCTGGCACTGTCTTTCCTGTTACAGGTGAGTTTCCTTCATCCAGAATGCTTGGGCTCAGGGTGTGTGGTGAGATATCCTGGAGATGGAGCTCACGTCTAGACACCAACTGCTGTATGTTTCATAGCACTGCACACATGTAACGTGAAAGTAATTTTGTGCAATGTTTTTAGTGCACCTGAGTTCAACTCTGGCCTGTCACATGAGGTCAGGTGTGTAATTTTCCACTTGTGGCAGCATGTTGGTGCTCAAAAAGTTTTCAGAACAGGGTTGCTCAACCCGCTGTGCTCCTTATCTTGTTTCAGTGCCAATTCAGCCCTTGGATTTTTTGTTGTTTTCCCAAATCACTTCTCAAAGATAACACTCAAAGTTTGTATGTCTAGCGCGATTTATCCTGAGCTGTGGTACTAGTCACAATCATTTGAATGTTTTGAATGCACTTCAGATGTAAATTTTGTCAACCAAAGTAAAATCAATTTAGTTGAGAATAAAAAGGCGTTGTTTATTTGGTGATTAGGATTTCAATTCGGGAGACACAATTTAAGCAATTTTGAGTATGTGCTACAAAATGTTACAAGATGGTGGCTTTTCTATAGCTTAAACTACAGGGAGGTTGTTAATTACATCTCTTCTTGGTCAAGAATTGTGATTGTTATGGCAAAACTTTGCAAGAAAGGATTTGGGCACAGTCTCTGGAAGCAAGGGGATGACCTCAGTCAGTAACTGTTACAAAGGCTGGTGGATCTTGTTCCAGAAATTGTAGTTTGTCCCCATTCAAAGGGTCAGTGCTTACCAGGTAGGTTATGTGTAGACTGCTCAGTTCAAAAGTTTAACTGGAACATACCACATAACTCACTTCAAATTTTAGCAATGGATGTACCTGAGACCTTATTAAAATTTTTTTTTTTTTTTTCAATTTGAGAAGCAGAGAGCCAGAGTAACTTCCCATCTGCTGGTTTAGTCCCCAAATGCCTATAGTGGCTTTGGCTGAAGCCAGGTGCTGGGAATACAATCCAGGTCTCCCATGTGGCTGGCCTGGACTCAAATACTTGAGTCGTCACCTGCTGCCTCTTAGGGTGTGTATTGGCAGAAAACTTGAATTGAGAGTGGAGCCAGGACTGGAAACCACTGCTGTTCCACTTTATTTTCCTTGACAGTTTGCACTTATATGCAACTTTTACTTCTCAGTTATTGCTGTTGGCACTTTTAAAGATTTATTTGAAAGGCATAGAACTTCAATCCACTTGTTCACACTCCAATTGGCTGCAACAGCCTGGTCTAGGCCAGGCCAAAGCCAGGAGCCAGGAATTCTGTCCTGGTCTCTCCGTGGGTGGCAGGGACCCAAGCACTTGGGCCCTTTTTTTGCCTTCCCAGGTGAGCTTCCCAGGTGAGCTTCCCAGGGAGCCAGATTGGAAGCAGAATAGCTGGGATTTGAACCAACACTTGGATGTGGAATGCTGGCATTGCTAGTGGCTTAACCCACTGCACTAGCACGCTGGCCCCTTGGCGTTGGTCTTTGAGATTACTAAAATTATCTAAGTTCTCCTACACTCCCAGACCTTATCTCTTCTTACTGATTCAAATTTGAACAATACTGGCAGGCTCATGTACCTGGGTCCCTGCCATCCACACAGGAGAACAGGATAGAACTCCTGCCTCCTGGCTGTTGTGGGCATTTGGAGGGATTGAACCAGTGGATGGAAGATCTCTGTCTCTTTCATTGTCTCTGACTTTCAAATAAAGTTATATAAATTTGAGAGTAAATTTTATTTCACTGTTGATCTTGTAGAAACTTGATTGACAGACTTACCATCTTGCCAATTAAAATAGGTTCTGCACGTGACTGCTGATGCAATCTTTCCAAAGTTTACTTCAGTGTTTGCTGGTCTTCTCAGAAGCTCTCAGATGTGCCCTCTTGATTAAGAAATTAAATAGAGCTTCACCAGCTAGACAAAGATTCACTTCATGAATCTAATAAGGCTTGCCATTCTGTTCTGTCTGTTGGGAGGCACTGTTCTAGAACTTTCTATAATCTAGCCTACTTGGTGTTCTTACTGCACCTTTGTGTAAGGGTCCTTGAAGTGTGAAAGGAAAGTGAACATGTGATAAATACTTAGATAAGAGTATTATTTAGTTACTACTTCTGGTACGTGTCTCAAAGGAAAAGCAGTTGTGAGGAAGCCAGATTTAGTTAGGGAGAGGGCCTCAGGAAGCTTTTTCAAAAAGGGTGATCTTTACTTGTTTTTTAATTTGAGAGGCAGAGAGTGAGAGAGAGGCCACAGCCAGGAGCCGAAAGTAATTCCTTGTGAGTGCCAGGAACCTAGTCCCCTGAGCCATCATCACTGCTTCCCAGAGTCCTAGAGTCAGGAACCAGAGCTGGGAATCGAACCCAGGCACTCTGATATTGGACATGGTCTTCTTAATTGCTAGGTTAGGTGACATGACATCTGGAGCTTGATTTTTTTAAAAAAAATTTATTTATTTATTTAACAGGCAGAGTGGACAGTGTGAGAGAGAGAGACAGAGAGAAAGGTCTTCCTTTGCCATTGGTTCACCCTCAAATGGCCGCCGCAGCCGGCGCGCTGCGGCCGGCGCATCACACTAATCCAAAGCCAGGAGCCAGGTGCTTCTCCTGGTCTTCCATGGGGTGCAGGGTCCAAGGACTTGGGCCATCCTCCACTGCCCTCCCAGGCCACAGCAGAGAGCTGGCCTGGAAGAGGGGCAACTGGGACAGAATCTGGTGCCCTGACCGGGACTAGAACCTGGTGTGCCGGCGCCGCAGGCAGAGGATTAGCCTAGTGAGCCGCGGTGTTGGCCCTGGAGCTTGATTTTTAAATTGTTAATAGTACTCATTCCTTTTACTCTGTTTTTGCCAAACTACGGTGTTTGTTTCTTGCTCTTTGGCTACCTCTCTTCTTACTTCTACTTAGTTGTTTCTTATTGACCAAAGGCTAAGTCTTTAATCAATTCATCTTTTTTCTTCCTACCTTCCTATCTTCTTGCCTCTCTCCCTTCCTCCCTTTCCTGTGCTAGGAATCACAAACTGAAAAGCAGATGCCAAGAAGGAAGCCTTGAGTGATGCTGGTTAGATGTCAGCAGAGGGGGCCAGTAGGGGACTGGTGAGCTGGAGAGAGTGCTCTGTCTAAAGGAGGCAGTTTCTCAGCCCCAGCTTGTTGCTATTGTAGAATGGGGGCATTTGGCACGATGGTTAAGAAACTGCTTGTGATGCCTGCATCCCATATCCGAGTGCTTGGTTCAAGTCCCAGCATCCCCACTTCTGATCTAGCTTCCTCCTAATGTACACCCTGGGAGGCAGCAGATGGTAGGCGAGGTACATGGGTCCCTGCCACCCATGTAGGTGACCCAGATTGAGTTCTGGACCCCTGGCTTCATCTTGACCCAGCCCAGGTTATCATGGGCATTTGGGGTGTGAAAGAGCTAATGGAAGATCTGTGTGTTCATCTCTGCCTCTCAAATAAAATGGGGGAGGGGGACAGGGAGGAAATGTAGGGACCAGTCTTGTGGTACAACAGGTTAAGCTGCTGCCTGCAACACTGGCATCTCATATCGGAGCACTGTTTTGAGTCCCTGCTGCTCTGCTTCTGACCCAGCTCCCTGCTAATGCACCTGGAAAAGCGGTGGAAGATGGCCCAAGTACTTGGGCCTCTGCCAATCATACAGGAGACTCAGATGGAGTCCTGGGATCCTGGCTTTAGCCTAGACCAGATCAGGCTGTTGCAGTCATTTTGGT